TGTGTGTGTGTGTGTGTGTGTGTGTGTGTGTGTGTGTAGTGTTTGGGTGGATAGGGGTGGTACCTTGGATAGATGATGCTCAGTGGAGAATCCCAGTCCATAGACAGTGTTAGCTCGGCTGTCCGCCCACTGCCCAAATTTCTGTGAGGTCTTTGTGAAATTCATGTTGGGGCTGATGGTGCTGTTGATTATTGCCTGAAAATAAAAAGAGCAGACCCACTTAATATGCATCAAATTAACTGTGTGTATCACAACAGGAGGTGTCAAACAGAGCGCTAGTTCACGTTGGTGAAACTCTCCATTGTATGTATGTGGAACACACATTAGCTAAAAGCCTAGTTTCTTTATTTTTCTTATTTACATCTTGATCCAGAGTGACTCTGTTCGATTATATCCTGATACGTGCTCAGATGAACAGAATCAACTTTTTGGATCTTTGATTGTAAGTAACTAACTATTTCAGGTCTTTGTGAAGGTATCTTTGCTTTTCAAAATAAAATATCAAAGTGTTTCTTCAACTAATTCGATTTTTGACTATTTCACTTCTCAGTTTCTCTCATTTTATAGAACAAATAACTATTTGATTCTAAAAATACAACCTTTCACCTAATCTTAAGAAATACTGTGGTGCTGTGTGCCTTAGAAATCCCCTCTAGACCTAAATCTTTTTTTTTAAACAATAAAAAATATGAGTGTGCAGTTCAGAACATGATGGTGATATGTCTTTGTTGTTGTTTTTTTATTACTAGTACAGATAGCAGCTTCCATTTACAGACAATCCCACAAACACTGAACGTGGCTTTTAACAAATACACGGATATTAATTAGACACTACAGTATCCAGGCATTTTAAATAGATTATTAAGATTCTTTAAGCGTTACTGTTTTCATCAGGAGTGACCATTATTAGAAATGAGAAGATCAGATTGAAAAGTTTGGAGACAAAGTTAGAGAGGCAAAGTTGAGATGGTTTTTAACATGTGCATGAGGGATAGTGGATATATTGGTTAAAGGGAAGACATTTAATGGATATAGTGAAAAAGGACACGCAGAGGGATGTGGAACAGAGGAGGATGCTAAGGATGGGGTGAAATGGAGGTAGATGATCTGCTGCGGCGACCTTTAAAGGATCCAGCCGAATGAAGACGATTGAGAATTTTTTTTAAATGATTGGTTTATAGAGATTCACATCTTCAATGGGAAACAAAGAGACTCAATGCAACAGAGGGATTGTCAAAGTCAGAAAATACTGAGAGACGGACTAGAGAAAAGAAAAAAAACCCCACCAGAAATCTTCAGCCTTTTCCTCCATTTTCCATGAACCAGAATTGAAGTGTATCTCTTTTACATAATTCAGCTGGCTTTGTTAAAAAACACTAATGTAGGACAAATTAATGGCTGATCAATTAGCAGTGTTGTGTAATGCTTGGCATTCTAGTTGGCATCAATGCACGATGCTTTATTAGTGAAGGGGAGAAGTCACTGAGTGTGTGTTACATAACAGTTGAACTTAGCTAGCTATTTTGTGCTGGATGATATGAGACGATTGTTAAATTGACCGTGTTGAAGACCTGGCTTCTTTTCTGTATGTGTCTCCTTGTTTCTATTTCTTTTTCTCCTCACACTGTCATCTGTTTTTCTAATTTAGCTTCACCCCTCCTTTCTCCGTAACAGGCAGGGGGGCATGCATGTGTGCAGTGCCTATAAAGAGCTCCAATCTGCCTTTAGTCATGCAAAGCTAGGGCCAATCACACCAAGTACCCCTCCTAGATATCTAACAAAAAGAACATCCTAAGATATAAGTATAGAAGTGCAGATAGACACTAAAGAGCAGTTGCATGAGTGAAACATGAGCTGCCGGTCTCGGGACGTCCTACAAACCCTGAGCTCTCTTAAGAGGTGTTTGCACATTAGTTTCCAAATATAATAAATTATAAACACCATTAAAACTCAGTGAATTGCAGTGAAGCCTGTTTGATGAGTGATGAGGTAATTACACTGAAACATCTGGAACATCATAATAAAACCACACCAGTTGGCAAAAATGAAAAGCAGCCGGTGTTTCATATGCAACATTTGGGGTAAGACGTGAATCAGCAACCCCGGATGAGCCGCTCACCTTGGTGCCGTCCAGGCTGATGATGCGGTAGACGTTGCGTGTGCTGTCATAGAAGTAGGAAACCGTGACAGCATGCTTGCTGGTGGGCAGCCAGTTCTTCTTGGTGTTGGGATCGATCTGGAAGACGTGAGCCCGCGTGCTGTAGATGGGCTGCTCCCTGAAGGGAACGAAGAAGAAGTGGTGAACCTCTTTGTGCCGCAACACCAACGTCTCGCCAAACCCGCCGCCGGCAACGAAACCCCTGTTGCCCACAGGGGAGTCAGATCGCCTGGGTAAATGAACAACCAGCTCGCCATCCTCCATAGTTACACCACAGACACAGAGGCTGTCACCGAGTTACTACATACTCAGTGACTTGTATACGAATGAGAAGCTGGCTCAACTGAGTTCAGTCATACATGTTAAACCTAAACTTCCTCTCATATTGGATGTCTACCCAGAACAAACTCTGTCCTTCTTTCTTTGCAAGGCAGCACCCCGTCTCTCTGCTCTGATATGGGAATGCCTGCAGCACCAAGCGAGGGTCACACAGGAGGGTAGGAGAGGGTTTCAGGCTAAATATAGACAGTAGGCCACAGTTAACTAGCATGGACACACCCCACTGAGCTGCAGTTTCCACACACACAAACATACAAAAACAACGACACGAACATGATGGGATTTTAAATCTGCATCCTTGTGTGTGTGCGTGGAAGGGGTCTGCGTTTGTGTAGATCATCTGCACATGTCCAGCCCCCTATTACGGGTTTATCTGAGATGTCTTAATTCCTATTTGACCTCTGTGTGACGTTCAAGCCAGGGCTTAGATTAGCCCCTATTAGGGCTGAAAATTATATAACAGTCATTTAAAAAAAAATTTTTTTGGACAACCCATCACCCCTGTGCAACCTTCACCCTTCATTCACTTACCCCCTCCTCTCCCCGTTTGCTCCTACAGTGCCCTCATATATTGCACCATTGTTGGGGCTTCTTGGGTAATATCTACAGTCAGTACACACACAAACTCAAAGCGCAGGGTGCTGAGGGAGATATTCTGGGCTGGCAGTGCTGGCAGAGAACGAGATAGAGAAGTGCTTACACTGCACTGTGGGGGTGATGGGGGACATCAAAGGCTTGCTGTATAAATGAATATTAAAATTCAACAGCAGCACCCCTCCTGTGTGTGATTAGCCAAGACTGGGAAAGACAGAAAAACACGAAGACAGGGGAAAGGAAGAGAAAAGGCAGAAAGGAGAATGATGGGGGGGTGGGGGGTGGAGTATAGGAAGTCAGGGAGTGAATCTGGGATGATTAATACCGCTCCACAAAGCTGCTTGTGGAGTGCTGTGCGCGAATTATCATAATCATCGACAGCAGTGTAAGTGGCGGTACTGTGAGTCATTTCAACTCTCTCCCAGCACACATCACACAACCACGGCCTGTCGGTATGATCTGTGCAATAGCCGCTTTGGCAACTCGCGTCGTTTTTCATTGCATAATTTGATGAAGCTGTGGCAAATTTTCCTCTCCTTGTCGTTTGATTGTGTGCGTGTGCGTGCCGAACACAGACTCGTTCTCGGGCTTTCATTTTTACATAAATGCCTTTGCCAAAGAGTTTTGTTCCAAAATGACACCCACTAGTTGTCAAGAAAGAAAAAAAAAGCAGAACTCACTCCTACAATTGAACTTTTAAAAGAAAGCAAAATAAATGAGGGAATTTGATTGCAAAATGTGCATAAGAATCATTTCTCGAGTCTTCTGCCTTCTTTTAAAAGATGGCCCAGTCCATAATGGCTTCAGATTCATCATGCATTCCCCCATTGCAGTCCTTTTTGTTGTCTACAGTGATCTGCCCTGAGCCAATAGCCCGGCATAGTTAGCAGTTATGGGATGGCATGAAGGTCATTTCAGTACGTGCTGATCCTCTTGCACTCCAGCAATGAACTCTGTTTTATCAACAGGGGACCCGCACTGAAAGTGCCTACAAAAGCTGCAAGGAAAGGTATGAGACCCTACCTGCTTCCCATCACCGATGAACTAAGTAAATATATGCTATAGGGGTGGGGGGGTGGGGGGCACTTCAGTGGGATGTGAGTGAGTGGGAAGGAAGAAAGTGTGGAGGAGGAAGAAAAACACAGAGGAGGAAGAAGAAGAAGAGGAGGAGGAGAAGGAGGGGGCGCTTAGCATGCAGAGTACACTGCGTGACACAAGGGCAGGTGATGGAACATGAATGTTAAGACAGAGAGAAAGACGGGGCCGGCAGAATGACTGAGGGAGGAAGAGTGATAAAGTGAGAGAAGAAGGGAGGGATGAGGAAAATGTGGAGGAGGTGATAAATGTAGGAGAAGCTCGAGAACTGAAAAATCCACTCATCTTCCAGTAGGAGAAGACAAGAAGAGTGGGAAGCTTTAACTGCAACACAGTGTGGCAGAAACGAGCATGCGAACCGACTGCGAGCTGCTCAAATCTGAGCAGCTCGGGAACACAACACAAGCACACCAAAGTGTCAAGCGGCTTCACGAGTAGGTTGTGTGCCCGAGACACTCTGCTGACTTCATTGTATTTATTATCTCTCCATAACGATGGAGATAATACTTGTTCGGTTTTTAATACAGTATGAAATGAGACTTTAAAAGGGAGCTGGTGTAGTCATTCCCAGCTCCATAATCATCATAATCTTCTGCTGGAGGAGCTTTGCATGAGTCACAGCTCAAAATAATGCTTATTTATCTTGTGCAGGGCTTTCGGGTTACTCTCTATCTGAAACATGAAATGATCATATTGTGGCTGCCCCTTCTCTTTAACAGAGGGAGCCAAAAGCATCAAAAAAAACTTCTGAATCTGCATTTTGAGCAGACTAAAGTCTGACGTCTTAGTTCACATGGATTACTTGCACATGTGCTGACTTCATTATTTGAGATTTTGGCCATATTTAATATGACCATCCATTATAACAGTAAAGAAGAAAAACCACAGTAAATCCCTTTAAATTACTGCCTCTCACATTTGACACATGAGTTTTTGAGACCTCTACATTATGAGTGTGATTTTTTTTTTCTATAGAAAATGTAGCTGAAATTATAGAAAACAAAAATAAAATATGCAAACTGATATTTCTTTTTTTGTTTGTTTGTTTGAATTTGTCAGAAGGTTCAAAAATGAGAATTTTCTGGCAATAATTTCATGGTTCAGGCTTTACGGGGTTAACGCTGAGCAGTTTTCAAAGCGTTTGATAAGGAACACGTTTCAGATTTGGCATTTATAGAAGTCCTATCTACAAATTAATTGACGGGGGCAGGTCACCTACCCCAAGGGTGTTGTGAATTAAAGGGTGAATACTATTCATACTACTATTTTGATAGTTCTGATTTTATTTTCACAAGTTTTGAGCTGTGTCTGCCTTCACTCCAGCACAATAGGAGTGAATAAAAATAGATCTGAAAAACATCTTCTAACAGAAGAAGCGTCTTCGTGAGGCTCAGTAATCCTTGTGTGCAGATTTCACTGTAACTACTTCTAAATAGTAGAAAAATCTTTTCATGGCAATGAGCGCTATATTTGTGGATCGGGAATTTAAACACCGAATTGTACAAAATGTGACAAACTGGGGGGGGGAAATAGGGGGTGAACCACTGCACCCTTTAAGATATGCCAAGCTATGGTGCACACCATGCGTTTGAATGTACCAAATGTTCTATGGTACATACACACATCTGGATTTCCGGGAGTGGAAAAAGGTGTTGCCTACACCGCCTCTTGTACTTCAGGGGGTTGATGCACAGATGTGGGCACGGTTTCCAGTCTCAGCTCACACATTTTATAGCACAAAAGGCTGTGCTTTAGTTTCTACTCCAGTGTGTCCCCTTCAACTGTGCAGCTGCCCCTAGCTAGGCAAAAAGCTGAAACAGAAGCATAATAATGAGACAACCCCATCTCAAGAGATCTCACTTTCCCTTGCCACCTACACCCCATAGAAGATGTCCTCATTTTCAGAGTTTTTCATTATTTGAACAGAAAAGAGCTTGAGATGGAGTAGATCTTACTTAAGGTGGAGAGAGGTTAATAATGGGACAAGTCACTGTTGCGCCGTCTACTGGGAATAGTTGGGTTACCTAAAGTGTGTGTGTGTGTGTTTGCGCTTGTAAACACACACATACTCTCTCTCTGTTTCTCTCACATACACAAACATGTGCAAATGAGCAAAGGCAAAGACAGAGAGAGAAACAAGTCTGTCTGTGCATCGATTGTATTTGCAAAAGGAAGTGAGTGGATACCAGAGAGGGTGTTGATAGGCATCTCTAATGTTATCCTCTGTGCCATCACCATCGGCACTGGGGGAAAGCTTGGAATAAAACCACTCGAGGCCGAAGTTAAATGTAACTTTATCTGTCTGTGTACTACACCCTATCTGACCCTATTCAGACACTGCAAGTGGCGCGGTGCTTTTAATCCGAGTTTACAATTAGTCCAACTGCAGATCAATTGAGTCATTGAGTCAGTTGCATAACAGTAACTTAGTCACCAGTATGGCAGAGCCCGGTGGAGAGCTGAAGCTGAGTGGGACATGGCTGAATGATGTGCAGCCCACACTGTGGGAGGGCAGAGTGGGCGACTGTGAGGCCTCCAGAGTATTGTAAATAGTTAATGCAGGAGTTTTGGCTGATGCCTTAGAATCGCACTGTGCCCTGTGCCACATTGTTTACCCCCTGCTGTGCAATTAATCACAATGAACTGCGGGAGACAGCCGTTAATGAACGGCAGGCTTGGTGGGGGAAATGGACCACTGAGCTCGGGGTTAGGGGACATGCAAATGAGCGGCGCTGTGTGCACACCAGGCGGCTGTTTCACTGATGGAAGCCTGTTGTTGAGGATGTGCATGGCAGCGGTCACTGTGTTGCCATATAGAGACAGAAAGCCACCTTTTGTCATTACAGAGCCCAGTGCAGCATAGCTATATATGACACCCCCCTGCCTCTGACTGATCAAACCCTTCTCTGGAGCAGGAACAGCATGTACAATTCATCACACACTGTCTGTGACTGGGAGTATACAAGAACAAATGCTGCCCTTTAACATGATTTCTTTGAGAATTTCATAACTACCTATAATGAAGTAGGAGGGTAAACATAGGGACCTGAATAAAGCAGCTCATTTTCATACTGCGGTGTGTCAGATTTAAAGAATTAAAGAATAACAAAGAACTTAAACTTTGCTTTATTTTGGTAAACACAGCCAAAGCCCCTATAAGACCCACCGGTATAATCCCACTTTGGGAATGTCTGCAGATTAACAGAGTATTTTGATCCTAAAAGTTTGAAGCTAGACTTAACTTCTGAATGAGGTTTATGTTTAAGCATTATGTTTGTGTTTATTCTTCCTTTTTAAACCTAGAAAACGGCAGGCCTGCTTCATGGAGGAAACGAATAAGTTGTCTCGTTACATGAATGCCTTGTTTAGTGTGCAGCACATCAAGGCCGTGAACAGAGCACCTCGTAATCACACGTCATACAGCCTTTTGAACATGCATCCACCACACGCTCTATTAAACGCCACGCAAGGCGTGTGATATAGAATTTGGGTACATTTTTACGCATAGTCTCCGGTCGTTATTTTTTGCCTGCTGTGTTTTCACGGCAGGCAAGTTCATACCCCGAGAGGCAGCTGCAGCTGATGTAAAAACAGAAAACAAGGGAAGAAAACTACTCAGTCTGTGGGATAATAACCACACTTACCCCATTGTTGTGGCTGACATGAAGCCTGACCGCTGAGCCTCTTTTCACCCCTTTTATTTGGCTGTCAAAACCTCCCGAAATCTCTAGGATTGGCCGCTGCGTATGAAGGTCTTTTCACTACACGACAGCCTCCACAGTATCACCGTCGGTGCGTCTGCAGGAATTTGATGACAACTGCTCCATTCCCCCCTCCGCTGTCACCGCGTGAATTCACACATACATGTTGTTCTGCACATGGCACAGAAACCAGACCTTGTCCTCCTTCGGCGTTAAGCGCTTGGTGATGAAGCAGCAGTAGCAGCAGAAGCACTGTGGGAGATCCAGCAGCGCAGGGTCCAGTGGAGATCCGACAGGCGCCCTGCTGTTGTCGTGTAAATTACTGATCCTTACTGGAAAGGGTGGAGAAGCCCTGCTGCCTAAACTGGGAAAGACAACCCTCATTTAGCCAGTAGATAACGCGCAGCATCACACTGTCCACCCGCGTCTCTCTCCCCCCACCTCTCTCTCTCTGATATTACCACAGCCTCACGGGCTACACCCCCACTCTCCCGCCCAGACTATTCCACAGCATTTCCACTCACTCTTTATTAGTTGTGTATGTCCTAATCAAATCAAACCACGCGCTTCTTCAACACAAAATCAAAATCATGTCTCTCTCTCTGATTCACCAAACTGACAAATTATCAGTCCTTATCAATATTTGTAATATTGGTTCCCATGAATTAAAACGTGCTGCTGAAGCTTTATTTGAGCTTTACTATTGATCCAAGCCCCCCACCCCTCCCTCCCTGCCATCACCGCTCCACATCTGGCTGATGCTGATGCATCCGCTTCCCTCCTACTCAGTTCATGTCAGTATTGAACTGCCGACGTCACGACACCATCCTCCGCAGTGACGTCACTCGGAGCTCTAGAGACCGATGCCGTTTGATGCTTTATGAGAAGTTTACTGGGAAGTAACCTCCTCACTAGGGCTGTAAAGGAAACATTATTCCGCTAGTGTAATAGGTAATTTCCTACTTTAATATTCTGTTTGTTTTTTTCTCTCGCTGTGAATACCAGCAGCCTGAGGTGATGCAGAGAACAGGTCATTTATTTCTGAAAATAGGAAAAATAAAAATAACCCATTATTTAGTTTGTTGGCCCTGCTCTCTGGCAGCTCAAAATATGATATGATATGATATGATATGATATGATATGATATGATACACCCATACAACTTTCATTTGGGTTTATTGTTTGTAATTCCTGCATTATTTTTTTTTTAATGATATTCTTCTCCAGTTTAGGGGTCATGATTAGTCTACAGGTGCTGTTTTGTGAGTTGTTGTTGTTGTTTTTTTTAATGTATCTGTTGAGTAACCAAATCCTAGAACAGCATCTAATTCTGGGGATACAAATAATATGAAGCCATTAAGTGTAAGCACATCTTGAAGAAATAGAAAAATAGAAAACAGCAAATAATTTATTTAAAAGCAGTTGGTTAATGAAAGCAGCCTATCTTTTATTATGGTGTAGATTTATTAGCCTACCTTCTCACAGTAAGGTCATGTCTAATCACTGAAAATGGATAGTGTGAAAGGAGAAAATACATTTTTTCATATCAGCTAACAATGACTTAAATTTGTAAATTTTTAACAGCTTAATAGTAGAGAGTGTGGAGAGTGAAGTGAGGATATCATTTAGGACCAAATCGTAAAGCTTCTCAACAGACAATAGATAATAGATAATATGAAAGGAGCCATAGTGATTTTACTAGGCTTTATCTGATCCCCTGCCCACATTCAAATTAACCTCATTTGAATACACAGTATTGTGCAAAAGTCTTAAGCCACCCCTCATTTCTTTATACTTTCCTCACTTTACCTTTTTATTGAGCCACTTAACACTGACCTATGATGAATCAGTGAATCACGATGCAGTGAACAGGCACCTAATTTAAGGGATGAGCCTACGTGGTCTCTACTCATAACAGAGAACTTAGCAAAGAAGCAATTTTAAATTGTATCTTTAGGCACTTTATTCTTAGCAGCCTGTCGCAAAAACAGAAAAAACAATCCCATTTCTTTAATTTAATCTGTAAAAAATGCACAGACTTTGACAGACATGAGAAAGTATTTTTGCATTAAGATGATTCCCAAGGAAAGACTTGGCATATCTCAAAACTGTGTGCAGTGTGGCCTTAAAAATGTTGTTAAAATGGGACAAGGTGAGCGCAAAAGAAGAACTGGTAGGCAAAAAAAAAAAACTATCTACAGCAGATGAACAGTATCTGAATATAGATACTAAAATCAGGACAAATCCAGCAAAGACCCAGCACAGGTGTGGGGCTGCATTTCAGGCAGTGGTCTTCTGGATTATTATTATTATCATTATAATGATTATTATTATTGACGATGGAATTATAAACACAGAAAAGCATTGGCCAACTGTGCAATACCATCCGAAAAGCATATGATATGCATCAGCTTCATTTTTCAGAATTACACTGATTCCAAACACACTGCCAGTGCAGTAAAAGCATAGTTGAACAGAAAAACACATTGTGGAGCACTACGAATCATGGATTGGCCTCCTTAGAGTCGGGATCTCACCATATATCATAGATCATACATAACAATGTGGGATCATCTCGACAGAAAACAGAACAAAAGGCAGGCAACATGCAAAGACGAACTGGGTGGGTGTTTCCTTTAAAGAACTCGCGGATACGGTCTCTTTAACTCCCGTTTCATGACGTCATGGCATCAATGCGGAAGTATGTACGCAGGAAATTAGCATCTTCAGTTTTGTTTACATGTGACATGCAATTTGGTAGGTGTGTTCGTGTTTTTTGGCTTCAGGTTTTGGGTGAATATTGTTAGAATTTACTGACACATTTCTCCAGATGCCCCCTTCATTACAAGCATCACAGAAACGCCTTTAATTTTTACTGTTGTCTTCAACGATGTTTAAATTAGCTAGCTAGGCGCTGCTAGTCACCAGCTAGCGAATGTTAGCTTGCTACACTGCGCGTTAAAGTTTCGATTTCCCGAGTAACTTTTCATTACTGTTATTATTATTGTTGGATAACAGATGACGCCAGTTTCTCAGCTGACGGTTTCTCTTCCGGTACTCATGATATGGGCTTCAATATCTTTTTTCTTCTTCTTTCGTACCATCAGCGAAGTTGATGCTGGAGCTCTTTAAAGAACCACAGCATGTTCCCCCGCAGAACTACCCCACCGAGGGGACGATCAGCCTACAGTAACGGTCTGCATCCACCGCCACCGGCGCCCCAGAGCTACGATTACAACCACCAAAGTCTGCCAGGTGTCAACAGGTGAGTCCCGTGAATGGAAAAATTCGAGTATCAGTGTCGGGGGTGTACTGGACAGCAGCTGTTTCAAGGTGAACTGCAGTAAACTTCGTTAGCTGTGGTTGAGATTTCCTGTTGTGTCGGTGCGTTTTGTTTAGAGCTGCAAGGGCTGGTTGATTAATGTTGATATTATTGATAAGTTGATCGATTTTATTTGGCACCTTTTTTTATCGTTGAATAAGCGCTGTAGTCATTTAAACATAAAAAAGTGAAAGAAGATAGTAGTTTCCTATATATGAGACTAGGATGATTTTTCTTTTTACTTGATAGAAAAATGATTACGTAAATATGGATTCTGGTGCTCAGACATTACACATTTTTTAATTGGCCAACTGGTCTGCTGGAAATTACAACAGGCAGTGTTTGTCAGTTTTACTGTAGTGAACTTCATTTAAAAGTCTTGATGTGGGGAAACTGAGCCAAAGTCAATGAAAACCGAAATGTTGTTGTGTACTGATAACGCTAAATTAAAATGTAAAAATTATTCACAACAGGAATTTTTCATCAAATTTGGCCAAGCAACAAGAGAGTATGCATATATTCAGTGTACACTCACCAGCCACCTTATTGGGTACACCTGTTTGAAGCTTGTTAAAGTAAATTAATACCTAATCAGTCAATCATATGGCAGCAGCTCGGTGCATTTAAAATATTTAGACATCCTTGAGAAGACCTGCTGAAGTTCAAAGTGAATATCAGAATAAGGAAGAAAGGCTATTTAAGTGGCGTTGAACATGGCCTGGCATGTTGAGTATGAGTATTTCACATCCTCCTGATCTGCTGGGATTTTCCCACACAACCATCTCTAGGATTTACAGAGAACGGCCCGAAAAAGAGAAAATGGCCAGTGAGCGGTAATTCTCTGGGTAAAATTTCCTGTGCTTATGTCATATGACAGAGGAGAATGGCCAGACTACTTTGAGCTGATAAGAAGCCAACAGCAACTCAAATAACAAGGTTTGTAGAAGAGAATCTCTGAATGTACAACACATCACACCTAACAGCAGCTGGGCAGCAACAGTAGAAGACAACACTGGGTGCGACTTCATTCAGTTTAAAACAGGGAGCTGTAGCTGCAATTTCCATGGGTTCACCAAAATTGGACAACAGAAGACTGCTGTGACGTTCAAATGGGAGCGGGGAGGGTCAGAATTTGGTATAAATGGCATGAAAGCATGGACCCATCCTGTCTTGTATCAATGGTTCATGCTAAGGGTGGTGTAATAGTGTGGGGATATTTTCTTGGCACATTTTGAGCCTCTTGGTATGAACTGAGCATCATTTAAACACCACAGCCTACCTGAGTATTGGTGCTGAGTGCTTCATCCAACACACCATGTCACTAAACTTAAATCATTTTAAACAGTTTCTTGAACATGGTAGTCAGTTCTCTGTTCTCAAATAGTCTCCACAGTTTTCAGATCTTAATCCAATAGAGCACCTTTGGGATGTGGTGGAACAGGAGATTCACTTTTTGGATGTGCAGCTGACAAATCTGCAGCAACGGTGTGATCCTGTCATGTCAATATGAACCACAATCTCTGAAGAATATTTTCAGTACCTTGTTGAATCTATGATATTAAAGAATTTTTGGAATCCTGAAGGCAAAAAAAGGAAAAGGGTCCAACCCAATGCTAGCAAGGTTATCATGCAGTGGCTGGTGAGTTTGTATGTCAAGTGTTGCTAAGTATAGAATCTCTTGAGATTGAAATGTCAGCATACCTTCATTCCTCTGAACTTCTAAAGTCTTGCTTCTGACAAGCACCAACCATATTATAAATATATCCATCCACTTTTCTAACCGCTTATCCACTTCAGGGCAGTAGTGGGGCTGGAGTCTTTTCCACTTGTCATTGGGTAACACAGAGAAGCAGACAACCATTCACACTTGCATGTCTGTCTTTGGACTGCGGAAAAAAGTTGGAGTATTCAGAGAGAACATGGAAACTCCACACAGAGCAGCTCCATGGGTTTGAACCCACAACCCTCTGTCTCGCAGTCATTTTAAATACAAAATCCAATAATAAATATTGCATTCTAACTTTTATCACATTTGTTAAGGACAAAGACCAGGCATCTCGCTCTGTATGGATTCATGCTTCGTGGCACCCAAGTGAAAGAAAACAAAACAAAGAAACTGAAAAGTTATCTTTTTTCATCATTTATTAGTGGTTGCTTGTTTTAGATGTTTGTGTT